AAGCGAAGGGTTGAGATCCCCTTACTGGTCATCTTTATATAGGAATTTAAAACAAAACAAAACAAAACAAAAAAACCCCAAAACACTTATACATTTAATAAACATTCATCAAATCTGCTTAATCTTCATAACAACCCTATGAGGAAGGTGCTATTATTCCTTCCCTCCTTTTTACAGATGAGGAAATTGAGGCAGGAGAAGTTAAGAAACTTCCCCAAGGTGACTAAACTAGTAAGTCATGGAGGCAGGATTTGAATCCAGTTTGCTCCAGATTTATGCTCTTAATCACTATGCTACACTGCTTCATAAAAGATGAGGAAAATAAAGTAAAGTTGATTTCCATCAACTTTTGATTTTTGAGCCCGAGTAAATAAAACAATGGGGATCCCCCCCCCCCCAACCAAAAAAAGTAGAAAAACCAGGAACATAAGTATCTAAAACCAAGATCTTGACATTTTGACAGAGCTATGTAGATTTGGGACTAAATCTTAAGTGGCAAGTGAGAGGTCAGTAAGGGTACTTGCAGAGAAGTGATATCTAAAGTTGTGAAAATGAAGACAGAAGAAATAACTAAGCCTTGAAAAAAGTTTGAAGGTAGAGGGCAAAATAAGGAAGGGACACCAAAGTGAGGAGTTACGAAGGAAGGGGTGACCAGCACGAAGATCAAAGAGAATGAGAACCGAGAGAAGACTTTTAGTTTGGCAGGGAGAAATTAACTGGTAATTTTTCAGAAAGCAATTTAAGTGGAAAGGAAGAGGAAAAACAGGAATCATGAAGAGAAAATAGAATACAACGAAAGCAGAGCAGAAAGGTGATCTGCCTGATTCCACTGAAAGACCAAATAAAGACATATTTATATTTAGCATGCACTTTTTTGAAGCATAGAGAAGAAAAAAGTGGTAAAGGGAGATAGTTGAAGTATGGAAAAAGGAATGATCTTATTCAAGGGACTAGAATGTATGCAATCACGTCTTAGAGAGGCCATCTCATCTTTTTGTCTTTTATAATAAACAGAGGGGTAAAACATAGAAATAGGCTCATTCATTCATTCAATAAATAGTTAGCGGGCACTGTTATTTGCCAAGCACTATGTTTGACATTAGGGATGCTATAAAGAATAAAATTAACACAATTTCTGTCCTCAAGGAGTTACTACCTAGTGGACAATACAGATAATAAACAAGATAACAGAAAGTGACAGATTATGATTAAGAATTTTGAAAGAAATCAAAAGGTGTTGTGACAGTTAAAAAAAACCAGGAGAATCTAATTCAGAGAAGACTTCTTTGAAGTAGAAATCACTCTTGCTCACATTAAAAAGATGAGGCATCAGCATACAAAGACTGGAAGACGTCTTCCTGAATGGGGAAACAGTTTTAGCTGTGGTCCTAAGGTAAGAAAGATCTTGGGACAAATTTGAGGAGCTAAAGAAACTGGAGCGCAATGAGGGAGATGGGAAAACTGGCATAAGTTAAGGTTGAATTTTTTTTAAAGTACATTGGGAAGCCATTGAAAGATTGTACGTGGTGGAACTAACATCCAATTTATGTTACATACATACATATATCATATTTTAAAGATCACTCTGGCTGCTGTATAAAGATGGGATTAAAGGGGGAAGAGAAGAAGCAAGCTATAGTAGTAGTCTAGGCTTGGACTGAGGTAGTGGAAGAGAAGACAGAGGACATGAATGTTTTTAGATATATTTTGGAGGCAAAATGGCCAGGACTTGGTGACAGATAGTTTAGGGAAAAAATGAAGAAAATGAGGATATTCTTAGATTTCTAGCTTGAGCAACTGGGTGGAAGGTGGTGTCATTTGCAGAGATGGGCAGATGAGAACATTTGTTGTGGTGAGATTTTGGCAGGTGAAGGTGGATTAAAATTTGGTTTTTGCACATTAGATTTAAGATAGTTATCAAGCACTTAAGTGGATATATGACATAGGCAGGTAGATATATACAAATCTGCCTATTACAGTTAAGATAAAAAGTCTGAGGCTAGATATATACTTTTGGGAACTGTTACTATAAACCATGTGGAAATGCAGAATACTTTCTAAGGAGGAAAATGCAGAAAGAAAACCCAGAATCAAGCACTGAGGAACTCCAACATTTAGGGATCAGGTAGAAGAGGAAGAGCTGGCAAAGGATACTGAAAATGAAAAGCCAAATGAAGCAGCAAGAAAACAAGGAGGTGCAGCAGTTCAGAAATCAAAAGACAACGGTTCAAATCAATTATTTTAAATGATGCCTAGAGTCATGCAGAGAGGAGAGCAGCCACACTAACTGTGAAGTGAAAGGGGGGTATGGAAGGGAAAACAATATGTGTAGATATTTTTGAGACATATGGGTTGTAAAGGGAACAAAAGAAATGACGGAATAGCTGGGAGATGGAGGGCAGTTCAGATGGGATAATATACGAGATCATGTCCATATGTTGACAGAAATGACCTAGCAGAGAGAAACCAAGGAGAAAGATATGCCAGATGATTCTGTTGTTCTAAATAAAATATGAGATGAGGCTGTCAATAGTTGGGGAGATGTGAAATATGAGTTCTCTATATTACCAAAAAAAAAATCAAGACCATAGAAGCCAAGGTTTATGATTTGGCAAGAAGGTTACAAAAAAGAACAGCAAACAAATAGGAAATCAAGCCGAGCCTCAAGGGAAATCCACCCTAAAAGAATATAAATTTAACTAAACATTACAAGGTTAGAGGAAAAGTCCTAGGCAAATTGTAAACACCTGACTGAAAAATGTTTAATTCATGTACGATCTCATCTCTGTTAAGCATCAACTTTAAAATATTATAAATTATATACAGCCAGTTCAATTAAAATATCTTACCCAGCCACTGTTAGACACTGAAGTTCAGCTGCAATTCTTATAGGATGACTTGTTGGAATTAAGTGTTTTAGAGCAATTTTCTCTTCACATCCTACTTGTAATTGTGCTGTGGCTAAATAAACAGAGCTGAAAGTGCCTGTAAAACAATTTATTAGATTTTTCAATACTTGGTTTTTAAAAATGTTAATGAATCAATGGTAAGACAGACTGTAAAAACTGTTTTAATGGCATAGTAGACTAAGACTGTTCATTTTACTGTAAATACTTTCTATACTTTCTTTCTTCCTGGGGGAATAAAGAAAAGCTCTTACCATAATTAGTAATATAACCATAGTCTCTGTATTTTAAAATGTGGTATATTTTTGAGTAAGAAATAACAATAAAAATCAAGATTATACAAGAAAAATAGAAGGGAAAAAAACTTGAAAATATAATAAAGTGTATACCCAAGTTACCTTCTCCAATTTTGTCCTTAATTTTAAACACACTACCAAGCTGTGGTACAGCTTCATAAAGCTTTTCAATATCTTTTTTAATGCCTATGAAGGAAACAGAATTTATAGTCATAATAAAATATATTATATAGTATCTTAAGTTAAAAAAAACCCAATGAAATAAATTCTAAAACATGAATAATTAATTAAAAATAAAAAGTTTTAATAAATCTTAAAATTATGACAAGAATAGTTAAAACTCCATCAAGTTGCTATAGCTCACATATACCTCTTGAACTAACAGACAAAAATGACAGTAGTAGAATTATGCACACCAAATTTCTACTACACTGGAATTACATACTAATAGACATTAGTACTAATGTCTATACTAATACACAGAATGCAATACAATGAAGAAACTAAAGTAAAACAACTCAAAAATTTGTGTTGCTATCACTAGATGGCATGACAATAACACAATGCAATGTTTTTGAAAACTATTTCCTTTAGGAAGTAAAAATATATAAAAAGTCCTACCATTCATTCAAAAACATAATTTCAATAGGGAGTAAATCTGATGAGGTCCAGGCACATAACTTCCTTGTGATCTCATTTGATTTACTTTACAAATTAGATCAAGAGACAATTACGTGCCTGGACATCATCAGCTTCATTCCTAATTGAAGTTGTTTTTGATATAACCTTAGCTTTTATTAAGGGTCATATAAAAAAAGAACCATATGAACAAGTTTCAGCATGTTATCATAGGCACTAGTTGTAATGTCCAGTGTTCTGGTACATAAAATAAAGGCTATGAAACTTTTGAAATTTGGAACAAAATTTACCCAACTTTTTATTTCCCAGCAGATTTTCAAAATATAAGAACAGTAGCATTCTCCTGAACGTACTTTTGAAATTTGGAACAAAATTTACCCAACTTTTTATTTCCCAGCAGATTTTCAAAATATGAACCAAGATTTTCAATGCTAGAACCAAGTCAGAATCATCCATTCACACTCTGCTTAATGCACAACATACATAAGAAACCATACGAGATAATGCCTTCAAGGAGCTTATAGTATAAACTTAAGAGACAAAATACAGAGTGCTAAACAATACAAGAAGAATAATACAATGACTACGTTATTATATTATGTGTTAAATAACTAGCAAAGAAAAGCAACTATGAAAAACAGGTAAATTGCAAGAAAAACGGAAGGGAAGAGGGACAGCATCCATGGAATGGATGAAAGTGGGATTTTAAGACTAGTGTAGTAACAGTGCACAAGATGAACTGAATGGAGAATGGAAAAGAAGTGAATGCAGACAGTTTAGGTTAAGAAACTTCATTGTAACTCAGGAACAAATTGTAAGGGACTGAATTAATGTGGTGGAAATGGAAATGGAAAGCAGCAGCAATGCCATACATATTAAAAAGAAGATAAAGTTGGATACCTGGATATGGGGAGCAGACATAAAGCATAAGCTGAAGACAACTTTAAAGTTTTAAGTATAGGTAACTGGGATAATGGTGGTTTTCATTACCAAAAATAAGGACATCAAGAAGGGTAATGTTGACACAAAAGATGAGTTTGGTTTTAGTGAAAAAGCAAAAATAGTTGATGTCTTATTTTTCTAGGGTGGGTTAAAGTCTATTTTGTTGTGTATAAAGTATGTTATCATTGATGAAAGGTCAAAATTAATATATTTTGGACAAGCACTAAATTCACTTGACAAAAATGGAAAAAAAGATTTAACTACATTTTAGGGAAAAAAAAAATACAGCCAACTGGATCTCCTCTAACAAATATTTATTTAATGCCTACTATGTCCGAGGCACTATGCTAGAGCAGGAATGACGGTACACATACTAGT